CCTGAAGGCAGAGGGGGTAATAATCCTCCACGACACAGGGGAAGGAAACGGAGTCTCGGGGACAGCATGTGAGTTGCTCAAGGCTGGAGAAGCTGGTGTGGCCAAGGGGCCTGGCATGGGCCGGACGCCCTGTTACCCCCGCCCGGGGCTGCACTGCGGCACCCACTCCGTGAGCCTCTGGCAGTTGGGGTCCCAGGAGCTGCCTCCCGTGGCTTTGCTCTGGAGAGGAAGGGTGGAGTAGAGCTCAGCGTCCTAGACCTCACCCCTGTGGACTAGAACTTGACCTTCAGTCCCCGGCAGGACACTCGGAGGGGTACCCAGGGGGGTGGGTGGGGCAAGAAGACCCTCAGAGGTCCCAGGACTCCTCCATGAAGCAGTTCCCCAGGCCACTGGTACAGCCTGGACCCCTGGGGTACACACCTCATCCCTACTTCCGTCTGAGACCCCCGTCAGGAGCCCCCACTCTGCCAGGGGTGCCCCGGAAAGGCCTCCCTGTGGTGTGACTGGGGACGCCACGCTTTGTGAGGACACCTCCCTGCCCAGGACTGGGGCCTGAGAAGCCGACGGGCTGCAGGGCAGGGGCAACAGAGCCCCAGGTTGGTTCATAAACACACACAGAGCATCCCACATTTCAGTCGTTGCTGACCTGGGTACTGAGGGTCTAACACCACAAGGAGCCGTTCTGAGCTCCGGATTACGGATGAGGAAACTGGAGCTCAGAGAGGGGCAGGGGTGTGGCGGGGGTCTCATGGGGATTTGGAGGGACTCCTAGGCTGCGCCTCTAGCCGAATGGGGGCTGTCTCAGTTTGGGGGCACCTGCGGTCTGGGCAGCAGGCTCCTACTTACAGGTGGCAGAGCCAATGCTCGGAAGGGTCCCAGAGTCAGCAGATCAGCAGATGAGCTGGTCTGGGACCGGTGTGCATGGTCCCAGTGCATGGGCTTGTGTCCACCCACCCACTGGACCTCAGTTTCTTCATCTGTAAAATGGGGGTGAAACGCCCTGGCCCTGCCATCCCGTTGGGCACTGGTTGCTTGAAAAGCTCCCAGGACCACAACCTCAGGAGAGGCCCAGCCCAAGGGGTCTGGAAGCCAGGTGAATAAGGTGAGAACCAGGAGGGAAGAGCCTTGAACGTCTCCTCCTCCGTGAAGTCCTCCCAGATGCCCCTACGTGGCTGGTCCCGCATGGTGTGGTGGGGGGCTCTGAGCTCCCACCTGCCCAGCTGTGCCCCCAGGCTGCAGACTCCCCGGGGCCTGCAGAGAAGATGCTTCAGTGCAAAGCACAGAGCGTCAACATCATCTGAAGAACCAGGATGATGGGGCTGGTTAGGTGGGTGGGTGGGGAGTCCCTGAGGGATCAGCCAGGGGCCAAGGGCACCGGTGGGGCAGGCATCCAGTCCAGAGGGCACAGCTGGGCCATGTGGTCTGTCCTGCAGTGGGGTAGGTGCTGGCCCCGGGAGAGCCGGGCAGAGAGGGAAGGACCTGCAAGGAGGACAGTCAGGGCTGGTCCTGGGCAGACTGGCCGGGCAGTGGACCTGCTGAGACCAAGACACAGAAGAGAACAGGACACCCCCGGGGCGGCTGTCGGGGAGCCCTGTGCCTTCCTCCCGCCAGTGGAGGCTGGGGAGGCCCCGAGGGGCAGGTGGTCAAGTGCAAACGGCGGGGCTAGGGTGGTGGGTAAGCCAGGGAGACGGCAGGGGCCCAGGCCCGGTAGCAGGGGAAGGCAGGGGCCATTTCCCCAGTCCCCCCACTTTGCCCCCTGCCTGCGCCTGGGGGCGCCCTTCTGTTTGCTGATACTCAGCTGACTGGTCCCTGACCTCCCTGGCCCACAGCTGTCCTGGCTGCTGTCCAGGGGTCAGGGGTTGGGGGTGGCCTTGGCCCTGGGGTCAGGCAGGTCCGGGTGGGGCATTCCAACTCCGTTTTTAAGGTGGCATGGGGTAGCCTTGGATTGGTCCCATTGCATCGCTCAGCCTCAGTTTTCTCCTCTGTGAATTGGGAACAGAGACCCCCTCGGGCATGGGGTCGGCCCCAGTGTGTGGGAGGATGCGAGGGGTGACTGGTCCCATGGGGGTCTTCACCTCATTCAAGGGTCCCCCTCACACCTGCCTCCTGAGCTCCCCTGTCCGGGGCTAGGGGAGGGCTGTGTCCAGGGGTGGGGGCACTGAGAGCCTCCCGAGGGGCTGAAGAATGGGAGGCGGTGAGGGCAGAGGGAGGAGTGTGAAGAGGCAGGGGGTGGGCAAAAGTGTGGGGTGTAAACCAGGACATGAGGGTGGGACAGCCATCTCACAGGGCCGCCACCTCTGCTCAGGCATCAGAGGCCTCCAGGAAGCCGGGGCGGGCGCCCAGGGACATTTCCTGCTATTAATGGAGCTTAATCTAAACAGGCCCTAATATTTACCTCTAGGCGCCTCCGGCCTCTGAGGGTGCCGTGCAGCGAGAGTGAAGAGCCCCACCCAGGCAATGCCCTTCTTACCCCGTGCTTCCCGGGCCGTGTGTGAGGCAGGAACTGGGGGCCTGGGGGCTCAGGTTTGAGGCCCCTGCCGGATGCCCAGAGCCTCAGTTTCCCTATCTGGGAGATGGGGGTGACAGCCCAGGCTTACGGGGAAGTTCAGAAGGTGGACAGCTCGGCAGCACTGGCCTTGTAAGCCCGCGCTGTGGCGGTGCCGTAGCCCCTCCCTCGGTGTCGACCAGCTGACACATCTCTTCCCCCTCCCTCCAGGTCATACCTGTGGGTGATCTGACTGGATGCTGCGGGCAGTCTGGCTGCCCTGCCCACGTCTATGTTCTCTCCCTGGGCAGGCGGAGTTGGGACCAGGCTGGGGCGAGGACCCGTCACTCTGCTGGTCTGTGCCCCTAACCAGCTACTGTGCCCACCCACGGCCCACACCTTACCAACTGCATCCCCTCCAACCCTCGCCCATCAGAAGCCCCTGCGCCTGCCCCCAGCAGTGATGGCAAAACCACGACCCCCCACCACAGACTTTCCTGTGGAGCCCACTGTCCCCAACCATAGGATGGTGAGCGAAGTTGGGGGGACGAGGGGACCCCTACCTGGCTCAGTGTCCCACGGCGGCCCCTGCCAGCCAGCCAGGGCGCTGAGTCAAGGGCACGAAGGGAATAAACAGTTTTAATTCAGGACGAGGATTCCTCGTTAAGGAGAATGTTTACATCAGATATAAATACACAAGCCACCTCACGTCACTTGGGCTTTTCAAAAATCTGGGAAGGGAGGCCATGTGGAGGGGACTGCAGAGACTTCACACTCTGGCCCCTGTGGGAACAAAGACAGTCCCAGTCTGGCCTCTGGAGGCTCCTGGGCCTGTGTCCCCATGGAGGGAGTGGGGAGGAGCCAGCCATCAGGAGGAGGAAGCAAGTGTCTGAGGAAGTTGTGGGGTCACGTGCGGTGAATCTCTTGCCCCCAACCCCCTGTCCACCGGCTGCAAGGCTACAGAGAGGAGGGAGAGGAGTAGAGAGTGGGGAAAACTGAGGCCCACTTAGCGAGGGCTCTGCAAGGGGGCCATCAGACAGCTCTGGGGGGTGATGGAAGGCTCCCTTGGGCCCTGGCATCCTTTATCCCCACGGCTCTTCCAGTCCCTGAGGAACCCAGGCTGGATGGTGGGATTTCACATGTGGGATGAGGGGAGGGGGCTTGGCCACCCTGGATCTGGATCCCAGTTCTGCGCTGGGCTCTTACTTCCATGAATGGTGGGGACTAACGAGACACTGGGTGTGAAGCAGGGCCAGACAGACCTGGGACCCAGCAGGTGCCCAGTCAACGTGTGCCGAGACCCACGCTGGCTCACCTACCTTAGAGACCGCCCTCCTCCTTGAGGAAGGGATTGTTCCAGAAGCATTGCAACCCCTCCACCCCCAAGCACAGCAGTCAGCGCAAGTCAGCCACTCGCTCTTTAGTATAAATTAGAGTGAGAACCTGGGATAGAATCAGGGCTGCTGACCCTGGAGGAAAGTCCACAGGTGGTGCTGGGCTGGGACAAACACCTCACACTAACTTTCCCTCCTCTGCTGTGTGACTGCCCAGGTGCCGGCTTGCAGGCCGGGGAGAGACAAAGCTCTGTCAGAGCCTCCCCGCCTGAAAATCCACCATAAGTGCCACTCCCTGGGGTGAGCATCGCTGTCACTGTGGGCTTCTTGGCACAGACAACCCACTCCCGCACCCTCCTTTCCCAAGAGCCAGGCCCCTTCTCTGTTCCATGGAGCTCTGGGCCCCTCTCTGAGCTGGGAGGTGGGGGGAGGCTGCATACTGTACCCGGCACCCAGTCAAGGCCAAGGATGGTGGTCCTGATGCTGACAACCACGCCCTTGCTTCTTGAGCACCCGGGCCCAGGAAGCAACCCTGGGTCCAGCGCCCCCACCACTTCACTGAGCAGGCCTTGGACTCCCCCGGGCTCCAGCATCTCCCACCTTGGCCACCCCACAAGGTCCTAGGGCCAAAGGCGTCAACCCCACTGGGCTCCAGCAGATGGTACTGGTCTTGCAGTACCTGGGTACCCTATGACCCTGGCAAGGTCCTTTCCCTCTTCGAGCCTCAGTTTCCTTGTCTGTAATATGGGGATATAAATGGCCTTTCTGCCTCCCATCCAGGCCTTGCACTAGGGCCCTGAACTCGGGGCCAGGATGCTCTGCCTGGAGCCACCGAGCATGTAGGACTATTTTTTTTTCTTTGGCTGCACCGTGTGGCATGTGGGATCTTAGTTTCCTGACCAGGGATCGAGCTCATGTCCCCTGCGGAGTCTTAACCACTGGACCACCAGGGAAGTCCCATGTAGGACATTTCTCTGCAGACAAAGGGCAAACCTGGGGCCCAGATTCCATCTCACCAGTTTCAGTGGTGGTGGCCACGTGAGAGGGTGGAGCCTGGTGGCTAGAGGTGCCTGAGACGCCCAGAGCTCCTCTCTCACAACAGGCGCCCTCCCCCCATACAGCAGTCTAGAGAGGGCTCATGGGAGCTTGAACATTCGACTAGAAGGCATGCAGAGGCTATCCTGGAGTCCAGCTCAGAGGAGGCAACCAGAGGCCCAAGCCAGAGAAATGATCCCTCCCCAGGAAAGGCAGGGAAGCATGATGAGCCAGGTGAGAGGGAGAATGAAGGGTTCTGAGTGTGGGGAGACGGTGGCCTTAGGCCAGCAGGCCTGGGTTCCAGTCTCTGTGTCTTTGCCCTTGGTTTCTCATCCATAGGATGGGCTGTGAGCCTACTGCCCTCCTGGGCCAGCGGGCAGGGTCTTCCAAGATGGTTCCTAAAGTGGAGGGCTTTGGGAAGATTTGAGTGGTCTCCATGGGGCAGGCAAGCGGATGTTGGAGGAGGTGGGGCTGAGTTGTGATTGGCCATCTCCCACTCATGGCACCTGTATGTGCCACTCAGCCTCCCCCTCATGGCTGGTGGGTGGAAAACAGTCTCCCCTTTGTAGGGTAGTTTCTGGTTTGAGTGTCAGCCCAGGTATCATGGTACTCACAGCAAAGCACCCCACGGTGTCAGGCTGTCTTCCTGTGTGATTTATGGATGCCTCAAATGGAGGCCCTGCAGACGTGAACACTTCACGTCCGCTCACATAACATTTGTGTCCTCTAACACTTCCTTTCTGTTCCTGTTCTTCTCTCTTTGTGGGGGAGGGAGAAAAAGGGGGAGGGGTGGGGAGGGAACCCCTTCAGTTTATCTTTTTAACCCTCTTTGAAATTCCCAGTATCTAAAACATCTTTGTCCATGTTTCTCAGGGACCCCTTCTAGAGGTTGAATGGTCCAAGTGAGAAGCAGCTCCTGGCTACCCCTCTGAGTTTTCAATGGACACAATATTTACCTTAGGGATGGCAAATTATCAGCCTTCAGATCACCACATCCTATCTAGAGCCCATGGCAGACATTGCTAATCAATCATAGCACAGTGGTCTTAGACACTTCCTCCACGCAGTGCACTGGGCAGCCATCACCAATTGATCAGGTGAACCCAATTTGCCATCCGGGTAGAGCAGATATCTGTGCTGTCCCCGACCTGGCGTGTCCAGTCCGGCCCTGACCTTTGGCCCCCTTGCAAAGTCCTACCAACTAAGCCTCAGGCCCATTAGCCAGGGCCTGCGTGAGGGCTCGAGGTCTGGCGCCGAGGATGTGACGGTGAGCCGAGTTCTTGGAGCTCTTGCGCGTGCTGACCACGTTGCAGCTGTTGGGCTCGCACCCCGCTCCACGCTGGTGGAAGAGGCCACGGACGGTGGTCTGGAAGCTGCTGGTGACGAAGCAGTAGACGATGGGGTCCATGCAGCTGTTGAGGCTGCTGAGGGTCACTGCCACATGATAGACCACGAGGCTGGTGTGGTGTGGCACGTCGGGCCACAGCGCCACAGCCACCTGGCGGGCGTGGAAGGGCGTGAAGCAGACGAGGAAGATGACGAGCACGGTGAGCAACAGCTGCATGGCCCGCATGCGGCGCTGGCGGCCCTGGCGCAGCAGGCCCGGCCGTGACAGCGCACACATGATGCGGCCGGTGAATATGCTAATGACCAGCAGTGGCAGCAGGAACTCCAGGACGGTCAGTGCAAAGACGCGGCAGCAGGGCCCGCCGGTGGCCGTCACGCCCAGCACGGACAGGGTCACGGCGCCGGCGGCCAGCCACACAAAGGCGCACACGGCTCTGGCGCAGGCAGGCTGGCGCCAGCGGCGGCCACCATCGGGCTGCACGATGGCCAGGTAGCGGTCCACGCAGATGCAGGTGAGGAAGAGGATGGAGCAGTGCATGTTGAGGAAGTAGCCAAAGACGTGCGGGAGGGCGCAGCGCAGGCAGCCGCGGGTGCCGTAGAAGACAGCAAAGCGCGTGGGCAGGGACAGGCCCACCAGCAGGTCAGTCACCACCAGGTTGATGGTGTAGATGACCGATGGCGTCTTGGCCTGGGTGCGGCAGCCGAAGACGTACAGCGCCAGCCCGTTGAGCACCAGCCCCACCAGGAAGATGACGCCATGCACTGCCATCAGTGCCAGCCACAGGCCTGGGAAGGCGGCGTGCAGCTCCCCGTCCAGCACAGCAAACAGGTGGAACAGGGGCATCTCCGGCATGCTGACATTAGTCCACGCTGCCGCTGCCGCTGTGGCATTGGGGGCAGCCATGGCCGAGGGCCCTGCGGAAGACGCGGAGGGCATGACAGCGGCCAGCGCACGCCCGGGGCCTGGAAGGAAGGAGACCGGGTTACCCTGGGGTTATTGGAGCCCTGCCCCGAGGCTGGACCTCACTTGGCTCGTCTGCCCACCCAGCACCCCAACATTCCCACCTTTGTGCCTTTGCCTGGCCTGGCCCTGGCACTTGCCAGTGTGGAGCTTCAGCAGAATGCCAGTGCTGTGAGCCTGCTCCTTGCTGTAATGGGAGGTGAAAAGCCTCGCAAGACTGTCACCGGGACTGAAAGATGACAAAGGCGACTGGTGTGGCACAGGTAAGATGACGGGCCAAGTGTGTGGTGTTTGAGCCTGGGCTCCAATCCCAGTTGCTTCCTCGCTCGCTGTGCAACCTCAGGCAAGTCGCTTAACCTCTCTGTGCCTCACGTCCTAATCTATATCATTGGGACTACAGAGCTGCTGGGAGGATTAACTGAGCACAGCAGTGCTCAGCGCACCATTAGCTGGTGCCAAATAAACCACGGTTCTGCTAGGACAGAGCCGTGCCCTCGGTCACCCCAGCCCACAGCTCCCACACCCATGCGACACAGCCCCTGTCCTCCAGGCCACCCATCTGTTCTCACCTCCTGCAAGGCTGGCACCAGGTCAATGCCCTGGGTGAAGGTCCTCATAAGGGTCCAAGAGGCTGGGATTGGGGAGCTGGGAGCCAGCCCCCTGGCCACCCCAGTTTCTCCCCAGCCCTGAGAGGTGGCCACATTTGCTGTCTTGGAGGCCCACGTGGGGTGGCTCACTGGGGCTCGAGCCTGGAGCCAGGTCCCAGCAGCGGCAGCACAGCAGATTTGAGTTAAATAAACACCGTGCTCCCTGCCTGGTCCAGGCCTGGTGGCCCAGACACTGCAGTGGGGGCAGGCTGGGGGTGGGGCCGCCCACCCTGTTTCTGTTCCTGCTGAGCTGTTTAACTTGCTGAGGTTTATCCCTTTGTTTATAAACGAAGGGTTAACAGGCTCCCATCCCCGCCCTGGGCCAGGCTGATCCTCCAAATAAGGACATTTCTGTCTTTTTCAGGAGAAAGGAGAAGGCTTTGGGGAGAAGCAGGGAGGAGCGGAGGGCACATGGGACATCCCAGGTATAGTGTGCCCTCCCCCCCCCCCCCCCAAGGGGAGGGAAGACCCCTCCCCTTTCCTGGTGACCAAGGGAAGTGAGGCGTCTGCTGTGAACGGGCCTCACACTGCCCACTACCCCTGGACGGCTACTGCACATCCTTGAGCAACAGGCTCCTTCCGGCAGTCTCCACCCAGTGGAAGTCGTGCCCGCTGGGGGACTGGGGACCGAATGCCAGCCTGGAAGGGCTGGGCACAGCAGGGGACCTCTTGCTAGCTGAGGCTCAGGTCCCAACCTGGCCGGGAGGGAGCCCCTGGCAGGGCAGGCGGCTGCCTCCATCCTCCAGCTCAGAGAGGGTGGCATCCGCTGAGCCTCTGTCTCTGGGACGCCGGCCCTGAGCGTCTGCTAACTCTCAAGGTACTGCCGGGAGGAGTCGGATGCTGCCCAAGACTGTGTCCGGCCCCTCTGGCCACCTCCAGCGCAAGTGGGCCCGGGCCTCAGCTCACGGGGTCCTCTGGGAGGGCTGTCCTCTGCCCAGTGTCCCCAGCCCCTAACACACAGGGTCTTTGGATGTGTTTGTCCAACGGCAGCTCAGGGAGACAGGGTGCGAGAGTGACGTCCGGGGCAGGGAGAGACCTGTGGGCGCGAGGGGCTGGGGAGCAGCAAGGGGAGGTGATGAGGCTAGGCTGTGGGGCTGGCATCCTGGTGCCTCAGGGCTGTGGGCTTCGTCCTCAGGCAGCGTGGACCCCCGCAGTCCCCCAGGAAGGAGAGGGATGTCTCCCAACGCGTCCCTGCTCTACTGTGGAAAACACGATGCCTCGGCAAACCCCCAGGAGGAAGGGCCCAGGGAGACAGGAGCTGGCCCCAGACACACGCAAACAGGTTTTTGAATTTCCTTTCGCGCGCCTTTCGGTTTTCCAATGTGTCTGCATGAGGTCTGCATCCATGTGACAATCAGAGACAAATAATAAACACCACAGAAGGTTTCCTCTGGCATTCAGTCCCACCCCAGGGACAGCCTCACATGCTGGCCAGCACCTCGCTGAAGGTGCCGGCGGTGTGGGCCAGGGCTGCACGCCTGGAGCTCCAGAGCGGGGGTATGCACGGGACACCCCAGAGGCCGGGCAGGTGAGGACGGAGGACGTCAGCCAAGCACACCATGATTCTCAGCTCCGAGAGTCTGAGCCTGATCTGGTCCCCGCCCTGGGCGCCGACGCCGCTCACACACTGAGGTCAGTCCCGGAACATGACAAACCTTGGCATCTGTCACGCCGGCCGAGCTCAGATCACAGCCACAGCCCGGGCCCTCCCATCCCCCCGCTTTCTACACCACCATCTCTTCCCCTTTGCTCTCTGCTGAGTCTGGCTGTCTCTGTCTGTATGATAAGACCCCCGCCACCCCGCCCTGCTTACGCCGGCCCCAGCACACCCCTCACCTCTCACGGTGATAACACACTGACCTGGGTAGTCACTGGCCGCTCTCTGGGGGCATCTACTCACGGTCCCTTTTGTTTCGCAGGATGAGGAGCTCAAACCGTGAGACCCTGGGCCCTGTGGAGGTGGGCTTGCTGATGGCCTCGGGGATCCACAGTCCAGGGCGCTCGGCTCTCTGGGGCCGGGGAGGCACCGGGCTGGGAGTGTCTGGGCTGAGCTGCCTCCACCCTACATGGCCTCAGGGCAGACACTCCTTCACTGGGCCTCGGTTTCCCCCGTGGTCTCCACCGCCTCAGCTCTTGGTCCTCCTTGAGGCTCCACGGGATGGACCGCTCCACCCCCTGAATCTGCTTTGGTTAAGCGCGAGGGCTGCCGCGGGCCCCCCCGAGCCCTGAGCAGAGCGCCCCCCTTCCATGCTCTCAGCACTAGCCCTGCCCTCCGTGGTCCCGCCGGTCCTCCAGTCTGGGGCTGACTCGCCCTCGTGTCCACCATGTCTGCTTCTCCCTCTGTCCACACCCAGGACCCCATACCCCCATCTGCCGGCCCGGGCTGGGCCTGTCCACACTCCCGTGGGAAGATGGGGCTCAGTGTGGTGTGGGATGTCACAGCTGGTGATGGCTGGGGGTGGTGGGCATTGCGGGGAGCACTTGACCAGTAAGAGTAACCAGTGGAGGTGCGCGCTGGGGGCTGGCCCCCGCTCATGGGGGTCACCCCGGGTGTTGACTAACCTCTCTGAGCCTCAGCCTCCCTGCCCGCAAAGTGATGATGTAACAACAGCACCTTCTTTCTGCAGTTTCTGAGCGGGTTCATGGCATCGGTTCCCTTGCAGATCCAGGCACTGGTGATGGTAACTCCTTACCCACCTGGCTCCTGGCCTCCTCCACTCACTCAGAGGAAACTGAGGCTCTGGAAGGGAGACGCCAGGGCTCGAACCTGGGTCTCTGCCTAGTGCGAGCCCACAGCTGGGTCTTTGGGCCTGAGGGAGGGCGGGCACCCAGGCAACGGTCCCCTCCTCTAGCAGGTGCACCGTGGGCACCCACTCCCCACCTGCCTTCCACCCTGCTCCACTCTAAATGTAGCCTGGAATGAGGGGAAAGGAGAGAAGCCTCTGCTCTTCTGTGGGGATAGCCTGACGCTGGCCCTCACACCCAGGCTGAGTGGGGAGGCACAGACCTGGCCCTTGGATGGGCCCCAGGTGGTGAGCAAGCAGAAGCATCCCAGACACCTGGGCTCGAGCCCAGCCCTGCCACTCCCTCGACCCTGGACCTCGGCCAGTCAGTGAGCCTTCTTCTCCTCATCTGTTAAATGGGGTCACTAGTGCTTTCCACAGCCTGAGGAAGCCAGTCTGAGGGTGGAGGCATGGCCCTGTCCCCTCCCCGTTCCTGGCAGGTGCCCTAGTCCCGGCTGAGGCACAGCAAAGCCTGCAGCTGGGTCAGCTGGCTGGATCCCAGTGGGCGGGGGCCACGTCCTCGTAGTGCCTAGCACCGTGCCGGGCTCAAGGTCTGGAAACTGCCTCAGGGCAACTGACCCAGGCTGGGAGCCTTCACACATCTACCAGCCACTACCCTGGCCTGCTCCGCCCACCCATGCTCAGGCCCTTCCCTGGGCAGAGCGGAGGGCACGCGGACCTGCTCTCCGGGGGCTCAGGGTCAGAGGAAGAGACACACAGTGGGTTGGGGGGACTGGAGCATAGCCACTAAGAGTCTCGACTCTGGCCTGGATGCCCCACCCAAAGCCTGGCTCCATCTCAGAACCGGCTTGTGACCTTAAAGTCTCTGAGCCTCAGTTTCCTCATCTGTAAAGTGGGCAGAATTGGGATCCATCTCTGAGGCTGTAACGACACATTGTCAACACGTGGCCCTGGAAGGGTCCTGAGAGGATTTCAGCTGGTGAGGGGATGGGAGATGGGCCGAGTATAAACAAAGGTGAGGGTTAGGGAAGGGAGGTGCCCTGTGGAGAACGGCAGCAGGAGGACGGCAGGGCGGGCAGGCAGGCCTTGGAGAGTGGATTCTACACAGCCCCAGGCCCCAAGGGCGAGTGCTGGTCCTGGGTGGACTGAACAACTGGAATGCAGCTGTGCGGGTGGGGCCCAGGGCTTCGGGCCCCTGGGGTCCTCCCTCCTCCTGCACCTCTCTTCCTTCCTTTTTCCCCTCCCGCCCATCTCAGAGGAAACTAGGGTCTTGGGAGGAAGGGTCAGGAATTCCTCCACTGCCCAGGCTGCCCAGGTCTCAGTCTCCCCATCTACGCAATGGGCAGGTGGCTCTGAGGGTACTTCCAGCTCGGAAGCACTTCAAGGCTTGAACATGCCTGCACCTTTGGGAACGTCTTGGCTGCAAGACTGCTCTAGAGGGCTCTTTCAGGGAGCAGGGCAGAGGGATGGTCGTGGAATCCCGGCGGCTTGGGGACTGGGGCGAGATGCAGGCCCAGTGCTTCCCAGGTTAGGAGGAGCCCTTGGGACCTGTGGGCAGGAAGTCTCAGCCTCCCTCCACCATGTGTGGGATAAAGTCCTTCAGTGGCTTGGCGCTGCTCAGCTCCTAGCCTCAGACATGGGCTCCTGTAACACGGAACCCCAGGCTACAGTGCTTGGTCACAGGTGGCCTCATGACCCCAACCCAGCCAGTCACTACTGGCCCTGGGACTTTTGCTGGCAGCTCTCTTCCCTGGGGTTGCCACTCTAGCTGGTTATGAGACTCAAGCTGCTGATGGCCGTATTCCTCTAGAGGAAACCCACCAGGAGGAGAGACTAAGCCCTGACAGGATGGTTCAAGCGCCTGGATCCAGCCCTTCCTGAAGCCACTCAGTTGTCTGGGACTTGGTTATCTCCCTCTTCGGCTTAAGTTACTTTGGAGTTTCTGTCACTTGTGACTAAAATAATTCTGACGATACCCTCTTATTCACCTGTCAGCTTTCTTCAGTTCGAATGCCTCTTCCTTCAGAGAGCCCCCCCTGATTGCTTCAGGTAGATTTGCTGCCACTTCTGGGCCCTCACTGTACCCGAGGCTCTGTCATTGCCTGGCCACTTGTCCAGTTTCCCTACTAGCCTGTGAATTTTTGGAGGAGAGGCCTGCACATTCACATTCAGTATATGTCAAGGGGGTGAGTGAATGAATGTGTAAAAGCTCAGCTTGTGGGGCATCCCCGGTGGCACAGTGGTTAAGAATCCGCCTTCCAATGCAGGGGACACGGGTTCGAGCCCTGGCCCGGGAAGATCCCACATGCCGTGGAGCAAATAAACCCATGCGCCACAACTACTGAGCCTGTGCTCTAGAGCCTGAGAGCCACAAATACTGAGCCCACGTGCCACAACTACTGAAGCCCGTGTGCCTAGAGCCCGCGCTCCACAACAAGAGAAGCCACCCCAGTGGGAAGCCTGTGCAACGCAACGAAGAGTAGCCCCCGCTCACCACAACTAGAGAAAGGCCGCGCACAGCAACAAAGACCCAACACAGCGAAAAAAAAAAAAAAGCTCAGCTTGCACTCCTCCGAGGACGGGGAACTCACTACCTACCAGGTTAGCCCACTGTAATGCAAAACTCTCTGAAAATAAGAAAGGTCTTTCTATATTGTAGCATAAATTAACTTTCTCTGACCCAAGCCTACAGCCCCTGGCCTCCCTAGAAATATGTCTGCTTTCTCTGCCCCCTACCCATGGGGCCCTGGTGAGAGACATCTGGATTCCTCCTATCATCGTGGAGGGGGCACAATCCATATTTTGTCAACAAGGATGCAGGGTGCAGAGACAGGGAGCTTCAGCAACTAGCCTGGGGTCCCCCAGCTGGGCCCTGGGGCTTCTGGCCATAGGTAACCTTGTGGGCCTCCCTCCCATTGCCCCACCCGACCTTGGAGTGAGGGTTCTGACCCTGCAGGGGTTCTCGCTGAGCCTCAGTCTCCACTTGTGTGGAGTGGGGCTGGCACAGCTGTATTATACTGCTCCTCCGGGATGCTGTGGGCCTTAGCTGATTCAGAGCACCTGGTGCAGGTGTGGAGAGGTGCCGGAGGGTGCGGTGGGAGTGCACTGCTGCCACCTGGTGCCTGGTAAGGGGGGCACGTCTCCCCTTACCCCCCCAGATCTGCAGACCTGGAGCTCCAAGACCCTCTAGGGGAGGCATATGGGGGGTGAAGGATGTCTTCCCCCCCCAATATGCTCTCCTCACAGGCATCTGGTCACAACCAGGCTTCGGGGCTGGGATTGCTGGGCCGGGGTCCTCCCCAGGAAAAGCCTCAGGTTCTGAGCAAGGCTAGGGGAGCCCCGTCCCGAGTCTCCTCGCACCCCAACTGAATGACGACGCCCCAGGCACCCTCCAACCTCCGTGCCTTTGCCCAAGCTGCTTCTCGTCCCCCACTGCAGTATTCCTGCCCGCTTTCAGGGCTTCCTCTTGACCTCAGCTCCTCAGGAAGCCTTGTCTTTCCACCATGGCTGGCCCAGTACCTCTCCCGGATGCTCCTGCCCCAGCACTGTCCAGCCCAGCACCGTCCTACGGTGCCTCCCCGTTGGACCGTGAGCACCTCGGGGTGGGCCTGGTGGCTTCGGGGCTGGGGCAGTGCTCCTGTCCGTTCCTCCAGCACACCCAGAACAGCCGGGCGCAGAGCAGCACCCATCTTTCTCTTTGGCGGAGTGAACCGCTGATCGAACCCGGTGGGGCCTGCAGGGCGAGGCCCGTTTCTCACCCAGGCATCTGGTGCCCTCCCCGCCTGGCCCAGCCCCTCTACAGCCCACCCAGTGTCCCAGGGCCCCCGCCCTCGGCTCCACCCTCACTACCCACCGGTCTTCCCAGCCGAGCAGGTTTAACACCTCCTCCAGCAAACCCACCCGGTCACCCTGACCATCGTCAGCGGTCCCTCGGTCCCCATTGTCCTCCCCCTCCCCCTTCCCTTGGTGCTCATCAGAGGTGTTTGGTTCAAGTCTCAGAGCCTCAGTTCCTTCACCTGTGATGCTGCGACTGACACTTGTTGA